CCAAGAGAGTACCGAAACTCAAGGGTTTTCACGTGTCGGACCCTGGGGGACACTCTTTCGACACTGTTTCGACGTTGTTTCGACACTTTCGGCACTGTTTCGATACTGTTTCGACACTTCTCCGGGTGCTCGAAATTATTTGTGGGATGTGGTCCTAAAGTACGATGGGAGCCACATGGTCTGTTCGAGTGTTGATTCTGTGGTCATCGAACGCCTCTCAGAGATCCCTGCGGCCTAGCGGCCCCAGGATGCCGGTCGGGCGAGGCGGGCCACCCGGGGGCTTTCCCCGATGATGGGTGCCTGGCGGCTGCGGTTGGCAGGGCGGGCGAGGCTCATCGGGCTTCTTCTGTACAGGTGATCGATTTGGCGGACCGCTGGAGGAGGCCTATCCCCTTCCCTCCGATCGGCATCACCTTCGTCCGGGTGGCGACCTCGCGGGTTCTCTCAGCTTCCGAGGGCGCATCCCTGAGATTGTCACCGCCCGAGGCCTGTCAATCTCAGGGGATACGGTCAGGACCTTTGACTCAGCGTGTCGACCCGCTGGTTCAGATTCTGGCCCGCCACGCTTCGGCGCGCGTCAGCGTCCCGAGCGTGTTCCAGCCTCGCCCCGCAGAGCGGAGCGACACCCTATCAGCTTGCAGGGCATCTAGTTCACCACCCACAAAACCACCCCAACCCAACCCGAAGGCATCAAATTGACCTCCATTTCCAGTGGGGGGGGGGTCGGGGAACATCGAGAAAACACATATGGAACCCGTACCCCCCCCCAACCCGAAATTCGGGTCTTCGGGTTGGGTTGGGGTGGTCTGGCAGGTAGTCACCAGTGTCGCCGGGGCTGCAGCCGCGACGCGGCAAGAGTTTCCGGACGTGTGGACGTGCTCGAGGCTGGCCACAGAAGTCGAGGGAGAACGCTGGGAGCCCAAGACCACGACGTCGGTGGCCTTGGCTTTTCGACCCGCCGCCGCCCAACGCCGCCCACCGCCGCCGCCCACGTTGGACGACGTCGAGGAACGACGACGACGATGATGAACCCGACTGACGACGACGACGACGACGACGACGACGACGACGACGACGACGACGACGACGACGACGACGACGACGACGACGACGACGACGACGACGACAACGACGACGACGACGACGACGACGACGACGACGACGACGACGACGACAACGACGACGACGACGACTACGTCGGACGTCGACGACGACGACGACGACGACTACGTCGGACGTCGACGACGACAACGTCGACGAACACGTCGCCGACTCGACTGCGACGAGGACGTCCCCGACTCGACGAGGACGTCCTCGGCTGCCACGGCGACGACCACGCTGGACGCCTCGGCTGCCCATTCGCTCATCTTCAATTCGAACTCGTACCATCCCAGCTCGACCCCGTATTGCCCCCCCTCCTCATCCTGCCTGTCAAATAAGACTATGCGCGCGCGCACCCGTTCATTCAAACTCATAACGTCGGTCGCGCCGAGCTAGCTGGCCGCTCTGCGCGCAAGCTGGCGCGCGATAGCGCAACCGCAGCGATGCGACAGCCAGCGCCGAGCAGTCATCGCAATCGCCGCCGCATGAGCTTTGCAAACCCAGTTGCGGGTGGGTGGGTGGGATGATTGCGCGAACAGTGGAGTTGACAATTTCAAGTTCTGCAGGGCGAACTGCTCCACATAACAGCACCATAGAGATTGCGCCACATAGCTTGTACCACATCTATTGCACCACGCAGATCGCACAACATAAGCTATATCGTGCAATCTAAGTGACGTAGTACTCTACAGAAGACATTGTTTGGGGCTGACGGTGGTCTACATGTTGTCAGCTACGTGAAGTTACAAGGTCAGGTGTCTGGGCCAAGAACACCAACAACCAGACAGTTCAACAAGTACATCGGTTCTCGAACCTCGAAGCTTGGCTGCCGCCGCTGCGACACTGTCTGGACACGCCAGGCCACCGCAACCCGCCGTCGCTGGCGGCCGCGCTGGGCCGCTGCCGCCGCCGCCGTCTTCGTCGCCAGCGCCGTCGTCGTCGTCGTCGTCGTGGTCGTCGTCGTCGTCGTTGTCGTCGTCGTCGTCGTCGTCCTCGCCGCCCGGAGGGGCCTGGCCCCGCAGGCGGTGCCGCCGCCGTCGCTGGCGTCCACGCTGGGCCGCCGCGCGCCGGCCAGCCGCCCCGGCACGGCCGGGTCGCGCGAGGCGGCCCCGGTCGGCCGGAGCGCACTTGGCCAGGAGAACGGCCCCGGTCTTCGGGCTTACAGGGACGACAACGACGACGACGACAAGGACGACAAGGACTACGACGACAGGGACGACAGGGACGACGACGACGACAAGGACGACGACGAAAAGGACGACGACGACGACAAAGACGACAAAGACGACGACGACGATGACGACAAGGTCGACAAGGACGACGACGACAACGACGACAACGGCAACGACGACGACGGCTACGGCAACGGCGACAGCGACGGCGACGACGACAACGAGGACGGCCACGGCGACGGCGGCGTCGACGAGGACGAAGACGAGGGCGAGGAGGACGACGACGACGACGACGACGAGGACGAGGGCGCACGCAGGCAGAAAGACATATCCGCATCCGCGGCCTCGCGGGCCGGGCAGCTGGGCCGCGACCCGGCGGATATAAGGCGTGTTGTTTTTGTTGCGCTGATAGCCCGAGCGGAACGCATCCGCGCAACCGCAGATCCGCGGGATCGCGCCCTTGAATCTAGACCGCGAGGGCGCGGATACGGATATGTTCGCCGCTCGTGGCTTACGGGCGTTCCAGCGGTCCTTGGAGGTCGTCTCGCCTCGGGGTGCCTCCTGGCAAGTGCGCCTCGTCGCGAGCATCCCAGGGGTGCCCCGCGTCGTCCCGATCGGCCGCTGGAGGCCCGAGGCATAGCCCGAAGGCCAGGAGCCCTCGCGTCGCGGAGCGAAGAACACGGCGAAAGGTGTTTGGCAGTTCGCGGCCGGTCTCTCGGCGGAGCCGTCAAGAAACATCGGAGTGGGAAGCCCAGGGAAGAGGTCCAGGCCTCTGGGGAGCCACGAGGTGAGTCAATCACGAAGTTAGACGTCTGGGACAGCTTGGTACAAGAGAAAGTTCAAAGCTTTGTGGGGTTTCTCGGAGGCGCATCTTGGGCCGTCTGAAGCCCATCGTCGGCGTCTTGGAGTGCCCTTTCGGCGACTCGGGGCCTTCTTGGACCGTCTTGGATGCGTCTTGGCGCCCTCTTGGGTCGTCGGGGAGCCCTCTATGTCCTCATGCCGCGTTCGGTCCGAGCGGGGGGGGGGTCGAATTGCCGGTGTGGGGTCCCTGGGGGGGGAATCACGGTGGGGGAAGAATGACACACGCCTAGAGACCCACAAAGGGTCGGTTACCTTCTTATTTGTAGCAGCGCTTCGATTGCGCCAGGGAGCTGGGTATACTTGGCGTTGCCCGCCTGGGCGAGAGCCAGGTGAGCATGAGGCCGCAAGTCTTTCCAGATGGAGCGCTGGCCCTCCGCATACTTCTGCGGCATCTCTCGGGCAAAACCGATATGAGGGGGCCTTGTGCAGGCACTTGTTTAAGAGGCAGCGCCGGCAAGCGCAGGCGCGGGGGTCGGGTCCTCTTGGGCCCACAGCTCCGCAGAGAGCCCGAGATAGCCCGTCGACGCTTGGATCTGGGCTTCGCCGCGCGCGAGCCGCCAGCTTGACCCCGTCGTGCTCGCGCCGCCGCTCGGCCGCCCAGCTCGGTAGCCTGCCCCCCCTGTTCGGGAGCGCCCAAGAGGGGGATATGGTGTGTTTGGATATGTATATATACACATACATATACATATATATATATATATACATGCATATATACATACATACATCTATATATATATATATATATATACATATAAATATGTGTTGGGCCATGTCGTGGCCTCGGTCGTTATATATATATACTTTTATATGTGTACATACATACATACATGTTCATATACATATACATATGCATCTACATATACATATACATATAATATATAGCATATAACATGTAACATATAACATATAACATATACATTTACATATACATGTGCATGTACATATACATATACATATACATATACATATACATATACATATACATATACATATACATATACATATACATATACATATACATATACATTTACATTTACATTTACATTTACATTTACATTTACATTTACATATACACATACACATACATATACATATACATATACATATACATATACATATACATATACATATACATCTACATCTACATCTACATCTACATCTACATCTACATCTACATCTACATCTACATCTACATCTACATATACATATACATATACATCTACATCTACATCTACATCTACATCTACATCTACATCTACATCTACATCTACATCTACATCTACATATACATCTACATATACACATACATATACATATGCATATACATATATATACATATATATATATATATACACGTATACCTATATATCACGACCGAGGCCACGACACAGCCCCAGATCTCATGGCCCCCACCCCTCTTCGTTCAACACGCCCCCTGGCCCCCCCCGGTCGTCCGTGCACGCGCCCCGGCCACCAAGCCTCTTCTTTCCACACGTCCCTTGGCCCCCTCCCTACACAGACTTAATGAATCGCCGATCCCCAGGAAAACATGGGAAAAAATGGGAAGGGGGGGGAAGACAGGAACCCAGAAAATATGTGAAAATATTGGGCATCCTGGGATTTGAGTGTATTTATTTGTGTGTTTGTGGGCCTTTTGTCATCCGTGCACACGCCTCGGCTCATGTTTTTGGAACCTTCGACGTTTGCTTTGGAGGCCTTCCTGGGGCCCACTCAATGGATCTGTACGGGTTCGGCCTGAGCTCGACTCCGGCTCGGCGCTCCAGTTTGGCTCCAGCTCCACTGGCTTGGCTCACGTTCGGCTCCAGGCGATGTTATGTCCGACGCATGGCTCCAGGAAGGTCCCAGCACAAGCAGCTACACCAACGCCCCTCCCCCCTCCCCCCTCCGCGCCGCGGAGGCAGAGCTGCCGCCAGCGCCGCGCGCCGCGTGGGCAGAAGGCGCCGGGCGCCGCCTCCTGCTCCCTCCTCCAGCCGTGCCGCAGCTGCCGCAAAGGGCGGGGCGCGGCGGCGCACCGACCGCGGCGCCCCGAGGCCTCGAGTCCACTCCTCCCTTCTGTTGCTCCTCCTCCTCACTTCTACTCCGTCATTGCTATTACGTATCGTCCTCCCTCATCCTCCTCCCTGCTCCCCTTCTCCCTCATCAGTCCGTGCCCTCTTCCGTAGCCATTTTGGCTCAAGATGCCTTGTTCCCCAGCGGACCAAACGGATACCGCTAGTCCGCGGCTGCTTTCATATTCTCCGCCTGGTTCTCCCCAGGTGCGGAGCCCTGCTTCAGCCAACAGGGCCGTCAGCGCATGGGCCGCCATGCGGGCAGCAAAGGCGCGTGCGGCAAGGGCAAGGACAAGTCGGGCACCTTCGTCAGCTGCTCTGCGTGCCGCTATCGCTGGAACTTCAAGTCCAACCACTGGTGCTACCAGTGCTGTTCGCCGATGGTGCCGCACCCCTCGCCTGACAAGATGCCCACTGGCCAGTGGTCGTTCGGCCCGCCCATGCTCGCGTCGAACCCGTTCGACACCGCCGCGGGTGCGGCGCCGCCTGCGGGTGGCCAATCCAAGGGCCCTCCTGTGCCGCCGAGGGCCGCCAAGGGCGCGCCGAAGGAACGCCGCCCATGGGTTTGGCACGGACCAGGCTGGTACCCTTACGGCGGCGGGCCGCCGCCAGAGGAGCCGCGTGATGCACCGCGACCTGCTGACCCCCTCGCGCTGCTCCGCGAGAAGTTGGGTGATTGCGACGAGCTCGCGGCCCTGTCCGCCAAGTTGGCCGCCACGGAGCATCCTGCCGCCGAGGCCCCTCGCCGCCCGCCCTCATGGAGGAGGAGGTCTCCGCGAAGGGGATCGCGTGCAGGCGTGCGCAGGCGTGGCTCGAGACCTGTGCGCGCCGTGTCATCGAGGGCGAGGCCTGGCTGGCCGACGCCAAGGCTGCGGAGGACGCGGCGGCGGAGGCGGCTCACCAGGCCCAGCATGACTGGGAGGAGGCTTGCGCCAAGCAGCTGCCGACGCCCTCGACGCCGCGGTCTGAGACGGCATCCGCTGCTACGGCCATCAACCTCTCGACGCTCGTCGACGAAGGCTCGCTGCGCTTCGTCGATGGCCCCTTCTTTGACCTGGAGGGCCTCGAGATCGACGAGACGGAGCGCACCGAGTGGGCACGCATCAAGGGCGAGCTCGCCACCAGCGTGCAGGCCAAGGTTCAGGAGGCCCTGGGTCCCGCTGCTCAGCAGATCCTCAAGTTGCGGGAGGAGGCCCAGGCTCTCCACGCCAGGCTCCAGGCCAAGAGGCGCCGCGGACAGGATGGTGGCCATGCCTCGGGCCCCGCGGAGCCTCCGGCTCCTGCTGCTGGGGCCTCTTCTGCTGGCGGCAGCGCTGCTGGTTCGACACGTGGCGGTGGAGAGCGCAGCAGTGCCGAGGCCCTTCGAGCCGCGGCCAGGGCTAAGGCCAGCGCTGCCACTGACGAGAAGAAGCGTGACACGCAAGATGTTTAGCACCTGCGATCGCACCGCCGCTGTCACGTACGGTGGCTCGCCGTTCCCGTTCTACGGGGACATCTTCCTCTCGAAGGACGACGAGCTCGCCTTCTTCCCCGACCTGGAGGTTTTCGGCCACTACAAGTTCAGCTCCTCTCAGAGCGACGACGACTCTGAGTTCGAGGGCAGGGTGCTCCATTACAAGGATCAGGACCCTGTCAGGCGTGCGGCCATTCATAATCGACTGCTACTTGAGAGGCGGCTGAGGTCGTTCACTGGCGCCTGGGTGTCTGACCCCAGCACTGTTGATGAAGCTTCTGATTTGGCCGACTGGAAGCGGGCTTGCATCCCATATGTTGCCAGTTTCTGGCAGATCCAGCACTGCAGCCTCTTGTCCAAGAGGCCGCTGATTCCGCAGGGCACGGCAACCTTGCGGTTGCTCGGCTGGACATTGTCAGGCAGATCTGCGAGCGAGCGTGGCATGCTCGCCGTCGCCAGCGGCAGGCGCATCGTGACTACCTCAACGGCCTCCGCGACATCGACCGCGATGATTGGCAGGAAGAGTTGGCTCGCAACGCCCTGAATTACATCGACGCGCGCCGCGCGCTCGATACCAGGGCCCCGCAGCGACGGGAGACCATGTCCGATGCTCCAACGGTGGTTTTGCCATTTTGTGGTAGGCCCTACCTTTCCGCATCTGCTCAGACGTTTACATCAGATTTCTCATATTCCTGTGCAGGCGAAGTGCGGGCCCCTGCGCAGATGTCCGCTCGGCCCCGTCAGGCGCCCACGGCCCCTGCAGCCGCGAGTTCTCCCAGTTCGGCTGCCGCAACTGCCTCGGCACCTTTGGCTCCGAGGATTTCTACGTATGCCTCGATTTCGGCGACGGCATCGCCCCCGAGATGCACTCCGATTTCGGCTCCTGCCTCGGCTTCGGTTTCCTGCGCACCGAGTACGGCTACTGGGGGACCGTGTGCGGAGGCATCGGAGGAGGGCGGTGCCAATCCTCACTCAGCCCGATTGTTGTTCGCCAATATCAGCGAGTGGGGCCCTGAGGCTCTGTCATTCATGCGAGGAGCAGGCACCACGTTTGAGACTGTCGCCCTCGCTGAGACCCATGTCAAGATTAGCGGCAAGGAGGTTGCCCGTGCGGAGCTGTTCAAAGACGGATGGAAGATGGTTGGCGCACCTGCGTCGGTTTCAGCGCCTTCATCTTCTTGCCCCAGGGGCGGCGAGTGGGTTGTGCACAAGAAGCGCATTGCAGCCACCTCCTGGGAGCGGCTTCGCTCTGCCAGGCCGAGAGCTATTGAGGGGTTTTGCCCCAGCACCCTGCATCTCAAGCGTGGCAATGTCGTGCTGTTGTCGGCCTACTTATTTCCTGGGCCCAAAGCAGGTGGCATCAATACTCCCCGCCTTCGGTCCATCAGCAGGTTTGTCTGCTCGCTGGCTGACCCTTGAATCATGTGCGCAGACTGGAATTTGGAACCAGACGAGCTGACCAAGAGCGGCCTTCTCGAAGTTTGGGACGGGGAGACTGTCACCCCCAGCGGATGCAGTGCGACTTGTACCTTGGCAGTGGTTCATTGATCGGCTACTTGGTTGTCAAGAGGGTTTTGCTGACCAACATAGAGTCAAGCCATTCACGTTAGTCCCATGGAAGACACACGTTGCCCTGGATGTTGAGATCCTTTCTGGCCGCGCGGGTTGGTGGCATCAGGTTTTGGATTATCCGAGTGAGCTTCCACAGCGGCCCAGGCCCAATAAGGCCTCAGACCCTGACAGCAAGCGCCCACGGCGCCGTGAGGTAGCTCGAGTCCGCAGGCGAGAACGACCCAGCCCCGAACTGCAGGGCGCCTTCGATGAGGTCAATCCCCCTGAGGATGAGGTCCCTGATGATGAAGCTGAGCAGGTACCCTTTCGGTTGGAGTCGGACGCTTGGGCCGCTGCGGCCTCTGAGGTTCGACCTTGGACACGTACCAGTTCGGACTCGAGGGCCTGGGCTTTCTCCACAGACGCGGCAGATGACGTCCAGTCCATTCCCCAGTCTTATCAACGCTGGGCATCTACCTTGGAACTGGCTGTATTACGTACCGAAGGCATTCCGACCGACCAGCAGGCCCAGTACATTGGACGTGGCGAGTTGCATGGCCTTATTCGGCGCAAGCTACATCCGCCCCCCAAGGCGCACTCATATGCGTAATCCTACTATGGAGCTTTGGTGGACGATGCCGTCGTTGGTCACACGTTACACTTCCCTGCGCCGACACGACAGGGACCCCTTGCAGCAAGATGCCTTGATTACATCCATTTCCAGCCTGGTTGACCAGGCCGAGGCCCAGCCGAGGGCCGTTCTATTCGGCCCCAGGGCCACTCACCAGGAGGTACAGGAGTGGTTTGACGTGGCCTGTCTCATCGTTGGGCCGCCTCTGGGCGTCGAAACCTTGGAGCGGCTCGTTGAGGTCACGGAGACTCGGCGCTCGCGTTCCTGGGGCAGGGCCTTAGTGTCCTCGGGCGCCGCCTACGTCGAGTGGGCCAGGGACTGCTGGCGCACCAGGCCATCTGTGGTTCATCGGCGCGTGCGCGACCCTCAGCAGCCTGCAGCGCTGGAAGTCCCTGGCGATGGACCTGAGGAGGCCACTGGCGACCCTGATATGCTCATGGGGCACAAGCTGCAGGCGTGGCGGACTATCTGGACTGATCCGCATGCGTCTCGCGAGGACCTGTGCAAGGGTATGCAGATGTTGCTCCAGCACGCTCGCGGCCACTCCATCTGCGAGCTTGAGGACGATTGCATCATGAGAGTTGTCTCCAGGATGGCTCCCAACAAGGCTCGAGGTGTGGACGACCTCAGCCCCATCGACATTCAGAGGCTGCCGACCGAGGGGCAGCAGCAGTTCGGCGACTTGCTGCGTGAAGCTGAGAGTGTAGGCCCGTGGCCTGTCCAGCTTTTGCTAGCCGTAGGAGCGACCGTCCCGAAACCGTCAGGAGGTGATAGGGTTATCGGTGCTTTGCCGACCTGCATGGGAGTCTGGTCGAGAGCTCGGGCCCCGATCACGGACCAGTAGTCCCAGGACCTCGGCGAGTTCTGGGACACGGCGATCCGAGGGCCCTCGGCTCTTAGAGCGGCCCTGCAGAGGGCCATATTAGATGAGTCCTCCTTCCAGCTGGGTTTCACCTCGGCCCCCCTCCTCCTCGACCTCGAAAAATTTTATGACCGCGTCAGCATGCTGTTACTGATGCGTGATTCGGTCGAGCAGGGCTTCCCCTCGATTGTCACCCTTTTAGAAGTGCAGATGTTCCTTGCTCCCAGGATCCTTCGGTCCGGGAACATCGCGTCGGATTTAGATTTTTCCCACCCGTTCCATTGTTGCTGGCTCTGCACATGGTGTCAAACTCGCCAAGGTTTTCCTGGGTCCGGTTCTGTCGGCCGCTCATGCGGCCTCGGGGGTCCGTGCCCTTGTCTCCTCCGCGGGCC